CCTTGGGGAAAAAAAGCAAAAGGCTGGAAAAGTAAAAAAAAAAAAAAAAAACAAAAAAAACCTATAGGTGTGTACGTACGTGTGTGTGTCAATAGATGAAAAGGGCATCAAAATAAACCGTTCACTGTTGCCTAGAAACAGCAGAGACTTTTGAGTGTTTCGTGGCTTTTCAAGTTTATCCTTGTCTATTTAATAAAGATGCTCTACTCTATTCATCATCTGCTGATCGGTGGAAGAAAGCTCAGAAGAAGAAAAAAGACATTTGGAACCCAAGGGGTTAACTTCCTGGGCAAGATCGAATCCCAGTTAGTGCGGTTGGCGCCTTCCAGTGGACTCACCACCCGCAGGAAGTTTCACGAAGCGCTGGTACGGTGCACTGTGATTTGGGTGGCGGTAATGGATATCAATCCGATACCTTCTTTTTTCCTTCAGCATGCTATGGGTTGCCATCCCTGAGGCGATAGTGTCCCTGTTTACGACATATCGCACAAAGTTAAGTTGAGCATTTTGGCTTAGGTATCGGATTGGATGGGCTATAGTTGTTTTGATCCTGAAATTGTGAGTAATATTGGATAGAAATCCAAAGATCTCTATACAGAACAACATCAAGAGACAGCACTGGTCCATACATGCTTGTCGTATGCAACGCTAACGGAGAGAGACCGCAGCGAGATCAGACCTAGCCTATGTATCGGAGTCTAGATCACAGTATAACCCTTCACATTAGTGCAGACAAGTTAAACCGTTAATTTAATAATTGTTTTGCGTTGGTCAAATCAGACCATAATAAACATATTTGGACTCTTGGAACTGTATCACTTTATGTTTCGCTCTTTTGCGTTGGTCAAATCAGACCATAATGAATATGATACATAATAAATGGACTCTTGGAATTGTATCACTTTATGTTTCGCTTGTTTGTTTCGACCCTAAAAGACATTTTTCCTTATCTTGCCCTGCAGCAGAGAGGGCCAGATTTGATGACATGAACATGCATGAAGGCCAAAAGCTCCGCTTGACATTCTTTGAACTAACGCAAATGATGTATCTCATGGAAATGTTATTGGAAAAATTCTGTTCATCGATGGGCTGTGAAAACATTTATTGATCCAAAAATCTCCACTTTATCAGTATTCACTCATTAATATGTGCTACACTTGGGTTTCTCCGCTATCTTTAAACACTCGCTCGGTTACTTCAGTGTGTGAATGACTTTGTAGTTGCAAACTGCATAAATATTGAAAGTAAAAAGGTTTCATGCAGCATGAAAACCAGACCTCATATAATCTGTATTTTACTATGGTGCACATTCAGGTTTTGAGAGTACCAGACTCAGACTTTTGAATTTTTTAGCGTCACAGTATAAATGATTTATGGTACCTCGAGTTTAATACTTGAGTCTTTTTGAGCAGTCCAATTTGGAAATATTTACATTCTAACATGGTGGTAAATGTCGTTGGAACATTTGAAGACGATTATTGGTTCGCTCGTTTCGGCCCCAGTCAATCTAACTCTAAATTCACCTTTGGGTATTGATACTGCCAAGTATTTCTGACCCAAGGTTTATTCAGCCAGGAGTACACATGCTACTGTGAGACATAGCTAACGCCACAACGAACAAAACAACTCGTAAAATACACCGGTGATCACACGTTACCCCTCTCTCAATTTCTCCTTCCTGCGACCATACTATTGTCATCAGGGATGTCCGATATTAATTTTTTGCCGATATTGTCCGAACACGGTATCAACCGATACCGATACAGGCCTGGTGATATTTATTTATTTGTCTGTAGAAACCACTGTATCAGTTGCTGGCACCAGCATTCCGCATGCTATCCCGTGATTATTAAAATAGATTAATTAAATGAATTGCAATGCTGCCATCTAGTGACTTTCACTTTCATATACAGCCTTCATTTGACGAAACCCAGGCACTGCGTTATAAGGTATTCATTATCAGAGGAAAAATCGATAACGATTTTTTTAGATTGTTATATAATTATGGTATTACATAATTATGCTAATATCGATCTGACAATATTATCTGACATCCCTAATTGCCATGGTAACCACATGACTGACAGGCTTCACAGCTGCTTAATATCTATTTATATATTTTACATTTCATATATTTTACAATTGTTTTTATATTTAAACTAGATGTATTTTTATTTATTAGGCAATGCAAGTACTGAAGGAAAATCTTTGCAGTGGTTAAAGGTTATTACATTTTTCTGTTTCATACATTTGTCTGATTGAATTTGTGCATATTTACCGAGAGTATAACACAGAGCTAAAAGAGTAATGTTTCTGTGGCTTAAAAGCTCAAAATTCCGGCACACTTTTAATTATCGCCTCTAACTTTTCAATAAATGTGACATTTGCTTCAGCTAAAACCTATGACTGCAGCTACAATTGCTCACGGGTGCATTGAAAAAAATCTGCTTACATCAGACCCGGTCTCGATCCAAAGCCAAATGGTGCGCACTGCGACCACAATCAGTCGTCTGTTATTACTCGGCTGTATCTGAGCTGATTTCTGTATTCTAACTTACTTCTTGCTCCCATGGTATACAAAATGAAAAAAAAAAAAAAGAAGAACTGCAATCACAAGAATTGTAAAGACAGAATAAAAACAAGAAGAAAGTTAGAAAAAGAAGAACTTCACAACTTTATATAAACCTCAAATTATGGCGTTACGTATGGATTTTGCAGCACTCGAGAGACTTGAGTCTCTCTCTCGAGAGGGATTAGTTTCAGGAAGATTATCAATCAAAAGTTCGACTTATCCACTAACTGAATTCTCGTAACTACTAACGATGTACATCGCACTCTAAAAACCACAATGAATTGCCAAGGACTAGGTGAGGGAGAGAGGTGACACGAATGAGACTAATGACAGAGACACAGGTTAGCGCGATCACTCTAATCCACACAGGCACAAGCAGATCTCTGAATTCCTCTGCAAGAGCACAAGACTATCTCGCAGTACTCTGCTGCATATTCACGATGAAAATAACACACGACCAAAGGTCAGCACCTGGTTCACATGAAAACGTGGAGAAACAATGAAATGATTCACAAAGACTAGACTTTGACACCACAGGATATCAGGATCCCTTACAGCTGACAATCATATCTGAGGAGATCAAAATTTTCCGATAGAAAGAATTCGTAGAAAAAAGTCCAAAAATGATACCTGAATAAATGATACCAATTACTTTTTGGCATTTTCTCTAGACTACTGAGGGATTAATAAAGTTTGTTCGTTCGTTTGATCTATCTATCTATCTATCTATCTATCTATCTATCTATCTATCTATCTATCTATCTATCTATCTGTCTGTCTATCTACCTCTCTTCTATCTATCTATCTATCTATCTATCTATCCATCTATCTCTCTCTCTCTCTTCTATCTATCTATCTATCTATCTATCTATCTATCTATCTATCTATCTATCTATCTATCTATCTATCTATCTATCTATCTATCTATCTTATTTACTTTTTGTGATTTTTTAACCCAATAAAACACATGACAATAACTGGCAATTTAACAAGTTCAATATATATACTATATATCAAAACATTACCATTACCCTTATCGATTGGTTCCCAACTTTCTCTGCGGGGAGCCCCTTTGGTAAATAAGAAAATTATCGTTCCCCCCACGGGGGAAAAAAAAGGGACACCCACACTGACGGTTCATCCTCTGCTTCCAACAAAAACATGTGTATTTTATGCTAGTATTGTCAACTTTGGTCAATTGGTAGGCACTGTGGATTTTTTGCCAGTCTCTCGTTTGAAAATTTACAGCATTTGACAATATGCTGCGTCGATCATCGTCGTTGCTTGTTACTCCTCGTTGGTGAACAAGACTAAATATGTGCAATGCGGCAGATAATCTCACCAAGAAACACATAGAACTAATCAGATGCTAACATTTAACAGACTTATTTTTCTTAAATAGCTGTTTTTTTAATTGAATATTGAACAATGGTGTGGCCTTCCAATGAAAGCTACTTCAAGGGTACTTAGCAACTGAGAAGAAAACGACTGCTGCTCCATCAAGTTCTGCGACAGACAATAGAACCCAATTGAATATCAATTGTATGTGATCCAGAAAGCACTGTAACAGTACAAATTTTGTTAACTAGTTGACTTTCATCTCTGATACCGATACTGCAACTTGGAAGTAACTGCTAAATCCATCCCTAGTACAAGCAGCTACATTTTTTTTCATATTCTTTAAGGACCAACTAGAGCAGGGGTGTCAAACCAGCAATACAGTTCCCCTTGAAGGGCCGGTTGTAAACGGTAGACTGTATAGATGTAACTACTCCATAATGTAGTAATAAATGTTTCTGCAATTGATTATTATTTATATAAGCTACAAATATTGTTCATTGCTGTGTATTAAAACATTTTTTTAGGTTAAGAAACTCTGCTGCAATGTTTTATAAGCACCTAAGGGCCATACAAAATGACTTGGCGGGCCACATTTGGACCCCGGGCCTTGAGTTTGACACGTGAACTAGAGCATTTAAGTTAGCATTCATTGTAAAAATAACAATTCATGTTATTTTTCTTCAATCACAATAGTAGTAACATAATTACATTGAACACCAACATACTTTTAAATAGACTTTGTTGCTGTAGAAGTGATGGTGAAACTTCACATGGACATAAGGCAAATGAACCAAAATGTAAATATGAGGAATGGTACAAAAAACAAAAGGGACTGAAAAAATTCACGAATGATTTTCCTTGTTAAGTTTGTGTTAAATTTTTGGTCTCATATGTTTCTTCTGCACTGATCTGTGTCTATTACCCAACGGTTGTTAAGGAGAAATTCAGCTGCTCAATGATGTATTTTCTATTGAGTGCAGCACGGAAACTTTTAACCATATTTCTATAATAATTCCGTAAAGAGGGTACTTTTTCAGCTGAAGGACACCTAAACTGAAGGAGAGATGCAGCAGAGAGCACATACAGTATTGTATGCAGTAATATTTTTTATATCAAATTGGTGTTATTTTTGCCATTAACAGAATACGATGGATACATTTTGAATCCGAATAATGGCAGAACAGATTAAGTTGATTAATCGTGGTTAATCGTGATTAATCGTGATCAGAATTAACCGGTAATAATCACCACACATCCAGGTAAACAGTCATCAAATTCTGTGTGCTGTGTTTTAGAGCAACAATAAGTGAAAGGCAGTTGAATAGTTTGATAAACAGTGTGCGTCATTCTGTTTTCAATCTGTTCAATCTTCACAAATCAATTGTCTAAATAAACGATTTATTTTGAATGGCCCTAATTTCAAGACATTTTCAAATTTAATGAAAAGAAAGGAGACGGAAATATATGTTAAAAATCAACTAAAAAGATTAATGATCATTGTAAAGTCCTCACTGCATTACCACTTTTGGCTCTAAATGTAAGAAACACTGGGATTGATTGAAGCCGTACTTTGATTTGATTAATGATTGTGCCGATTGTGTTGACTCTAACACTGAAGAAAATGCCTGTATGTGCTAATAATTCTGTGTTTGCGTATAGAATCAATCATATAAACATCATTCAGACAGGCAGATGGATGGGTGGATATAGGGATGGATGGCTGGAGATATGAATAAGTCATTATGACAAATGCGTAAGTACATCGTAGCAGAGCTCAAAGTCCGATCAGTGTCAGTGAACACAGAAATGACTTTCACCAACATCAGGGAGAGGAAGCTTCTAAGCCACGTAAGATACATCATGACCGGTATCACAGCACGGAAATGAATTATAAAAATAAAAAATAAAAAAAATAATGCTAATGTAGTGAAGATAGGTGATGACACCGAAGAAGACAGATGCATCCTCCCCTTTACCACTTTAATCATCGCCGGCATGAATATTTATACCCACATGGAGCCAAGAGGGTAATTAGCATAGCACATTCTGGTGTGTGTGTGTGTTTGGCACACACCGGGTTTAAACTGGTGCTTGGCAGACACTCTTTTTTTTTTTTTGTAAAAAAATAAATAAACTAACTCGATGTCTTGCTTTAACTAATGGCACGTAATTGCTTCAAAATATAAAAAAAAAAAAATCGCACATACACTTTTCCATTTGGATTCTGTATTACTTCAAAACATTTCGGCCTCAAACGAAAAGATCTTGTAATTGCATATACGTGAGAGAACTACCAAGGAGGTATTTTAATCATTTTTCGTTCAAACCATTTTTCCAAAAAGCACCTACTCTACCACAAAAACAAAACGGAAGATAGAAACATTTGAGTTTAGCCCGAATCATTAATTAAAATATCATTATCAATGATATGCAATGGCAAAGATTTGATTTTATTAAAAATTCAGGTGTGACCATAAGTAATGAAACTTAAAAGGGGAGATAATATGCTAGCTTGACTTTCTCAGAGTTTTGGAAATACCAGGGGAGATAATATGCTAGCTTGACTTTTGAGTTTTGGAAATACATTTGCATCAGGTGATGATAATGAACCCTGTGCCAGGTACAGTAGCTCCACCCATATCACCACGCCTATTAATGTGTGGACCCCCCGTTTGCTTTACTCAAACGCTACTAGCGGAACCCTACTAGCGGAACGCTATCCGGTAGCGATCAAAAGCAATCTTAGTCTTTTGAATAACTCACTACAGGAGGGTCATCGGAATAAGACGAAGTTGAACCATTGATGTCATGTGACAAAAATGTCAATTAAAAAAAGAGATTTATTTTTTGTGATTATAATCAGACATTAGACATTAGAATTCATTTTAAATTACATTCGTAGATAGGAACAACCGCTGACTGACGTCCGTAAGTGTTCGTAAAATGCCGTATTGCGTTCGCAAGTTCGTATTTTGAAACGCGCGCCACGTCCGACTACTTCCCCTTTCTGCCACGACCCAAGCCGAGTAGCGCCGCTCCTTACGCGCATCTCCAACACTCTCCCTCATCTCGGCCGATTTGTTCTTGTGTCTCTGTGAGCATCGCAGCTCGTTAGGCTTCATACCCCATGAATACTTTACCGTTTGCGTACAAGTAAACCTGATGACAACTCAACAATAAATCCTCACTCCTCCTCCTCTTCCTCCTCAACTATCTACGTATGCACATCGTCTTCGTAACTTGCCCTCTGAAGGTAAGTTACACTACGGACTTACGAACAATTCAGCTTACGAACAGCCTCTCGGGACCTATTGTGTGACCTATCGTAAGTTGGGCACTGTCCGTAATGGACAACAAATCAATTAGTCCTCGGCATTTCGCATCATTTTTAATAAATATCTTTTTTTTTTCTCACTTCCTGGAGCGGATTTTTAATTGACCTTAGAAATTGAATTCAATTAAAATCCAATCAACTTTAAATGTGATTCATGCATTATGTTTTCATTCATTATGTGTGAGTGTGTTTGCGTGACAGTGTTACCTGCAGTGCTGTCGGGTGTTGCTCCACCGGTGCAATGAGCACCACCAGCTCATGGTTGATGCTCAGATAGCCGAAAACGTCACACTGTGGCACTGAGACGTGATGCCGCAAGATCTGGAGGACGTTGTGGACCGTGAAAGGCTGCATCTTACTCAACTGGAGACAGATATCAGAGGTCAAACAAAGGCAGACGGGGGTTAGACTACGTTCAGATATGAGCAGAAGGCAGAAGTATAATGATAATATAAATAAATTATATAATTTGGAAAAGTTTGGTGGGCCAGATTTAAAAGCTAAATGGGCCACATCTGGGCCCCCGGGCCTTAGTTTGCCTGGCCTAAAGTCATAAAAAAATACCCAAAGTATCTTGATATCTGCTTGAAACATATACTGTACATTCTGACAAAGCTTTATCACAAGAAGAAACAAAAAGAGGAAAGAAAACAGTAAAAGGGTTTTCATTTGACACAAGAAAGAAAATTTAAAAAGGAAAATAATACGTCAGCAAAAACCAATCAAATTTGTTTCTGTTTTGGTCTCACATTTCACAAATTTCAGGAGATTTTGTTCCAAACATTGACATATTTGAAATGTTAGGAAAATATTCTATTTGTAAAAGCAAAGATAGATTTGTTTATTTTTCTAAACTTTAACCCTGGTGCTGGTGGAAATACAGCTCAGTGCTAGCTTAAAAATATCCATGGCCTCTGTCGATGTCATTCATGGAGTGACAGTTGTTTCAGCTGCAAATGCGTAATAAATAAATAATATATACTGCAATTTCCTGCCTGGGATCCATCCATGCATCCATCGATCCATCCATCGATCCATCTATATATATATATATATATAATATATATACACTCTATATCTACTCTCTTATGCCAAAGCAGCTGCTGAGTTTGTGTTTAATACGATTTAAAAATGAAATAAAACTCTGTCGCGCTCTCTCTCTCTCTTTCTATCATCTAAATCCAGTCCTCACTCCCAGTCCTTCTCCTAAGCTTAGTGGCCCTGACACTCACTGTCCCTCACTTGGTTATTTTTCCTCAGCCCTGCCTGAGGTTATTTTCTTCCTAGATCCAATCAAGCAAAAATATAAGGGAGCATATACAGTAGATGAATGTTCAAGTCGGAAGA